TCGCTTAGATGAGCAGCCTTTCCCACCACCTACAAGTCACAACACACATAAATACCATTCCCACTTAATCAGATACCTTCCACATCATCCACATTAGTTCATTGAAAAATGTATTGATGGTCATAATGTTTTGGCTCGTCAGTGTGTATGAATAAAGCTGTAAGTATAATGACTGTTTAAATATTTTAATAGTTTTGCTTTAAGTGCGTTCGCTTTTCTTCTCCGTATAATAATTTACCATTTTTATGAATAAGTAATATCATTTAAAACTAAGTATAAATTATTTAAAATAAAGATCATTGAAATTTAGGTGTGTAGTTTACTGTTCTCTGAATAAGCTTGAAAATATTATCACTTATATTTTAATAATACGATTTCAACAAAGTAAGAATAACCAAATTCGCTTTAAGAATCAAGTACCTTAAACAAAGGAGAAAACGAAGCAATGTTGAAAAGATTTCAAGGAAAAGCGTCTTTTGTGATTTTCAAAGGTAACTTTGAATGCCAATTTGTTCCTGTTTGCCTGAAATCATTTCAATGATTAAGAAAGATTTTAAAAAAATTATTATATTCTGCGTTTGACAGTTCTAATGTTTATTATTACTATTATTATTTTAAGAATTTGAAAAGATTCAATCACTGAACTTTTCTGTACTTATATCGAGTATTTAGCTTACGATATTTATTTAACTCAGATTAATGAATCTTGAAAGAAATTAAAGTGTTACGTTTTCTTAAATCTGAAAACTCCTTGTCGTGCAGAATCATTAAGAGGTAAAAGAAAACTGTGTCTTAAATACTGATATTTACTTCATTAATAAACTGAATTATTTTTAATCCGTTTGAAAAAAAGATTGCGCGTTACCTTTCTACTCGCATATTGTAATAACCTACTGCAACTACAATCACGGTTACATTGTAATTGTAATTAGATTATACTAATACTATGGAATTACAATTACAGTGGGATTGCAATTATATTACTATTATTTACGTGTTTCGCCCTAAGCCACTACACGGAAGGCAGGAATGCCTACGTGGAGGATTTTCTAAGGGAAACTATCTCGTATTAACACGTTGCACATGAGGAAACCACGAAAACGCCCATGCAGTCAGCCCGTTCGCGGAATTCGAACCTCTGACCGAAATACCAGTGTTCATGAATTTTACTGCTCGGCCACTGGTGGGCCATTGCAGTTATACTGTAAGTGTAATTAGATTTCACAATGATTATGCAATTAGTATTAAATTATATAATCACTTTGTAATTATAATGAGAAAGTAATTGAAATTGCATTGCAAATGTAATTAAATTTCACAATTAAGGTGTAATTATATTTACCTTGTAACTGGAAAAGCAATTACATTCTAATTGCAATTACAAAGTAACTGTACAATCTAGTTCCAATTACATGCTTCAGTTACAATTACAATGTAGCTGCAATTACTTGCTCCAAATTGTAATTGCAGTTACACAGTAATTGTATAATCTAATTGCAATTACATGCTTCAGTTACAATTACAATGCAATTACAATTACTTGCTCCAAATTGTAATTGCAATTACGTTTTGCCCAACTCTGACATGGGCTTATTTACTTGTACTAGAAAGAGACTTAAAAATAATTACTGAAAAATTAAATGTTGGATGCAAATATTGAAAAGTTAGCTTAATGTACTAGATCAGGGCTAAATAAAGTAAAAGAAAAAGTTATTTTTAGATACTTTCAGTCTGCTCAGTATAGCAATTAAAAAGTCGTAATTCTAAAAAAAGTGAAAAACTATCAGAATGCGATTATTTGCAACTGCAACATTTAGGAGCTATAAAAGCTTGAAACGAGTAGTTGATTATATGAAGTGATCCAGAACATTTAACACAGCATAAATTAAATTACACATATGAGTCAACTTTGGAACTGATAAATATTTCTCATGGTTTTATACTTTTCATACACTTTATTAACATGCGAGAAAAATAATTTTTCTTTAGAAAATTTATTTCCATTTTCGATTTCATTCAATTCAATTTAGAATCGGTATTGCTTTGGATTTATTTTGGTAGAGAATTTTAACTTTATACTAGCATTAGCATTACGCATATGTTAAGTAAGTAGCTCATTTATATTAGTATTATGTTTCTGGATATGATTCTTGCGATAATTCTGATATGTTACCAAAAGTAACACGATATTTATACTCATATATCCTCCTTAGAAAAATTCGCAGTTTCGAAATTAAAAAGTTAGTTTCTTTTCTATTAATGAAAAAGAAATCCGAAGAGAAATTTACCTTATACAAAGGAAGATGGAAAACGGATGCATAACCTAAATTATTTTATATAATAACTGCCAAAATATATGATTGATTATGTAGCAGTCTGATAGAAACCAAAATGTTTTAAAGATTGCACAAAATTATAACATGAATAAAAGGTACACTGAGCAAAAAAATGAGACAGTTCTATATATCCCGTTCTACCTTTCTCTTTCGATATGTGGTAGTTTTAAATAGTACTAATTTTATTTATTAGATTTTTTTCGCTTATTTGACTCTTTCATGCTGTAAAAAACATGAAGTTAGTGTTTGTTAGCATCGGCATTATTCATAAAACTACTGAACTAATTTCGAATTGTAACTTCCAGAGGTTGAAGACATTTGCATCTGATATTAAATCAAACTGCTTATAAACCCTTCCATTAGCTATCTAATAAAGCTTTCAGTTCCCTCTTCTTGAACAGTTAGAAATTCGCTCGTTGTTAGAATGATCTGAATATATTTCAAGCGTTATGAATGAATGGCGACTCATAGCGTGAGACTGTTTGAAATTTTGATCGATGAAGAAGTACTGTTAACGTATCCAACGAATCATTAAATTTCAAAATGAATTCATGATGATAATATCATTATAATAAACGGTTAGTTCACGTTGATGAATTATGTCTTGATAGTGTCAGATAACAATGATAATGATGTGGGGATATTTGCTGCAGAAATCAATGCGAAGCTTGTCAGTTAGGACTCTTTCCTGCATTCATATCAAGTATGTAAGGAAAGTAGTGTTACAGGTGATGCTCCTTGTAAACAAACGGAAAAAGAACGCGGCATGTCAATCGCGTTCCAATAAATACGGTACTATTTTATTTCGCTTTATTTAGTAAACGCAAAAAACGTGTGCTTTAGGAAGAATCACTTTTATTTAAATACATATTTAATAAAAGATAAATTTTCTTTAAAATATGTTAAAATAAATTATCATTTCTTGGTGTCGAAGCAGAAAATGCTTTGATAGTTTATTCACTTAAAAGTAATAGTTATTAAATAGCTTATTCACTTAAAAATACTTATTAAATAGTTAATAGTATATTATAACAGTATTATTTATAATAGTTATTCATTTAACCGATATGCACCAAAATATGAAATGTGAAATTACACTAATTTCTAAAACTGTGTGTTTGTGATTGTTAATTTCCCTATTTACTAAAATCAGCAAAATGATCGCAAATGATTTAAAAAAAGACCGTATAACAGAATTACCTTATTAAATCTTTAGTGGTTAAACTATTGCTCATATTTGTAATGCGTATCATTTCGTAATATATTAGATTTCAGTAAAATAATAATAATGATTATTATTTAACACAATTTTTACGCATAGATTGTAGAATCATCTACAAATTAATCTAATTGTATCTTAAGTGTGAGGCTTAATCATTTATAGCTTAACTGGGGAGTTTTGAAGCTATTTAATGAAGAAAGAAAAGCAGCTTATGTATAAAACATTATTTTTATATCATATGGCACTGTTGAAAATTCTGCAAGAAAAACAGTCGGAGGTTCTAAATACCATACACTGAATATATTAGTTTAGCGGAAGAGTTAAAGGATAATTGGCTTAATATTTTCATGTGCTTCATAAATGGCAGATATCATACAAAAAAGAGATATTGATATGCTGGCCAGTGCGATATATTTTTATTCGTATATGAACATATTCCTTAAAATTATTAACATTAATATTTAACAATATGTAAGAAACCAATATATTATATGCTTAGTATATATTATATTATATGTTATACCTCTCATATAATTTTTATTTATAAAAGATTTACTTAAATTATATCTTACAATTGTAACATTGCTCTTCGATTTTCTCTAATTTATGCATATGCAAATTTTACGTTTTAAGAATTATGTCACTATAAACATTTTCATTTAAATTTTAACTGACCTAGAGCCAAGTAATATTAAAATGAAATATAAAATTCTGATGTGGCTAGCACAGGACCCTTTTCCAGTTCTATGTTTTAAACAGTAAAGAGTCGACTCATGAAACCGACTCCGTTAGCTCAAATAACCCCTCAGTGTGAACGGCCCTTTTCTACCCAAATTTTGACGAAGAACACCCTGGGATAGAGTAATCCGACACCTTTTCCTCGACAACCAACCTCTTGAAAGAAATTTCGGATCATCTTAAATATTGAATATCTTCATCATGCCGCACAGATACTATACGCTAACGTACATACTTGGCTTCTGCGGGATTCGAACCTAACCCATCGGTACTGCAGTCAGCACCACTGGTCAGTATACCGATTGGAGGCGTTGAACATAGTAAAATAGACAAAGTAACACAGGTAGTCCTTGGAGTCTTAATCAATGGAGGCAGATGAGATGTTCGACTACGCCATTTAGAATTCAAACCGCTAATGACGGCAACTGTCAAATGTTACCTAAGCGTTAAATATAAACTATATTAACTTACCTGTCAAATGTGCATACAGCAGAATTATTAGACGGTATTTCATTAAGGGCTCATTTATACAATTTGTTTATTGTGCATACAGAAGTGTCTACACAAACTTTAATAATGCTGTATTTAAATAAATTATTAATATAGTCTAAGAAAATTAACTCATTCTGTAAAATTGAATATATATTTAATACATGTATTTTAATTCCCTGAAACATTGATTTCTATTTTTATGTTACGTGTAGGTACTAAAGGTTCACAATCTGGCATTAAATTCGAAACCGCAGCTTAAAAACCCAAGGGGATTTTTGCGCCGTTGTCTGCACTCAGTTTCGGTAAGTAACAAATCTTATTTAAAAAAATTAAATGGAATTATATTTTGTATATATAATTGAAAATGTTAATACTCCAAGGTAACTTCGTTGCATATGTACATATACATGAAATCAATAAATACAAAGTAAAAAGTAGTTTAAAATCTAATCCAATTGCGCGCTGATAATAGCAACAAGTGGTTGGTGGTAGTAATGCAAAATAAAATAAAAAATATGCTTAAAATTCAGCATATATTCAATTCAGAATAAGTCACATGCAGCAACCAAAAAACTTAAAGCACAGTGGGAAACTTCAAGAAATAGAGGTTCAAACATGCTGAAACCGAAAATGTTTCATTTTTCCCAATTTCAATTATATTATATTTTAGGCATATAATTTCGTTTTAAAACAGTTGTCCTTGATTTATAAAACTTTATAACGGTTCTGCTTTTTCTTATGTTTAAAATTTCATTAATGTTTGTTTAGCACATTTCTTTTTTTCATTCATTTTTTCTTTCATTTTCTTTCACTTAGGTTTTTTCTCACTTAAGTTTCCTTTTACTACCTTTAAATATATATATTGTTGCGTGCGTACGGTTTCGTCGTAGATTGAATGCACAAGTCTGATAAAAAGTTAACAAAATTTCTTCTTATCAGAAGAAATAAATAACAAAACGGAGTATTTCTCCTCAAAGATATTCGTATAATATCACACTATCACACAATATAAACAATAGCTATATTTTAAACTCATAAAACGTTAAATAGAATACAAACCAAAGCGCAGAGAAAGCTAATCCGATAAAAATTTACAGCAGCCAAGTAAACCACAACAGCTCACTAAAACAACTGAACTGAGATGTTCTCTGTCTGCCTTTAATAGCTTTTTAAATAAGCCTCACGAAAACGTTCTAGCAATTTCTTGAAAGCAAAAAGCGTAGGATTACGGTTACGGTTGAAATTGTAGTCAATTACATTTATTCAAATTAGATATAAATTACGATATATCTATTTATGAAATGCACCTGCTCCTGTATTTTTAATTTTGCGGCTAAACTTTCTCTTAAAACTCGTCACGTGCTGCATTGCAAGGGGAAATAAAACAATTCTAATTATAATTCTACTAAAAAAAGCAACTTAAATACAAAGTCCGTAACAATATATTTTTTAGCACATTGCTTTTAATATTTGCTTAGCACAATACTCTTGTTTCTTCTCAACAGAAATTCTTTTTGCAATATATATATATATATATATATAAACACGTTGCTTTCGGTTTATTTACTCAATTATTCAATTTCTTAATCGAAAATTTAATTTATTTATTAATTTTGAAAATTGCTTGCACAATATTTTTAATTTAACCAACAGTTTTTTCTAGGTTCCTACTCTAGAAATTCACTTTTAAAATTTTGAGGTTATGTCGGAGCAGGCTATATCTTAATAATTATTAAATTTTAAAAATACTTGAAAAATGTTTCTGCTTTTGGAGCACTTTAAGTAATTTTTTTTAATTTATTAATAATTAAATTTTCTTTAACTCAATTTCTGTAATTTTTAAAAGATCATCAGACCAAGGTTTCAAGAGGTATTAATGCATTTAATTATAATTAAAAATGTTTTCTCTGTTGAAAATTCTTTGGCTGCTCCTTGGAAAAAGGCCACGAAATTTTCAACAATTTTTGAGTTTTATATTCTTTATATCTTATAATTTTTACAGGTATTGTATTTTGAGTTTTAAAATGATTATGTGTTTGTTTTTGTCTTAATTTGTGTATTTGCTTTTACGAAATGGCCCACCTATCGTAATATATTTTGATTTAACTTTTATATCTTGACTGATTTTTTTATATCTTGACTGATTTTATATTTTTATATCTTGACTGATTTGCAAACATTTAAACTGCTTAACGAAATACCGTGGGAGACTTCAAGACATTTTTTAATTTAGATATTAAAACCATTATTTGATTAGTCCATTATTTGATTTAAAATCCTCCTTACAAATACATGTGAGCAATTTTTGCCATCAATACATAGCTCTGTTAGACTTTTTATCATTATATATTTTGCTTCAGTACATACTTTTACCAGAAAATATTTGCTTTTCATACTTTTGCTTCTAACTAGAAAATATTTTGAACATCCTTGGGTTATTTTTGTTTAAGCAGTTTGTAGGGTTTATATTTATTTTAACTAACATTTATTTTAAGTTTAAACTATATTTCCTGTCAAGCCTTACTTTCCCCTGGAACTGCCAATGCCAGAATATGTAAATTTGAGTAGAACGCGCAAGGATTCAAATTATCAGCGGAAGTATTCTGATTTAAATAGAAGGAAACGAGTTCGGTGTGATATTCTTACTTAGCGAGCGCGGAGGTAGTTAGCGAGAATTGAAGAACCCCGCGTTGCGGCCTATGTGCTTGGCGGGAAGTAGTGGTAATCGTTCCAGTGAGCTTCAAGTCTGCTGAATTAGCAGCGGTATTGTAAAACGCGGTGAGTTAGTTATTTTAGAGAGCCTCGTAGTTAGAATCTTGTCTTTACTTTCTTTTCAGGTTTTATATTTTTATTTGACTGCCAAGTTGGCACAGTCTGTAAGCGTCAAGAGGACGCAATTGTAATTTATTACGTTGAATAAAAAGGGACTTAAACCCTTCACAAGGCTCTATCTTTTGTACAAGTTTTCACAGTCACCTCTTGGTTGCGTGCAAGTTGGAGGCGCGCAACGTTATAAGTTTTTAAATAGAGTTCATTTTCCTTAGAAAAATTTATTTTTTAGGCTGAGAAATTTCTGTGTAGGATCGTTCTCTCTTGTTCCACATAAACTAAATTACTAGATCGTACCCTGAACCTGTAGAATTCTCTCACAGGCTTGAATAACTAACTACCACACAGAAGAAGGGCGAAAATAACCCTTCATTAATTGAAAAAGTTAACAGAAAGGCACGGTTTTCGTGCGTTATGAATGCACCGTTAAACTTGAGGCGAAACTAAAACCGTAGAATATAATTCAAGTCAAAACTAAAATGAGTAGTACTAGATAGCACTTAAGTTACGCCTAACAGGTTGACTCAACAAAAACCTAACAGGCAAATAATAATTCCGATATAGCCAAGACGCTTACTAGCGTAACAGCGAAACAACAACGTAACGTGTTCTGCCTAGCGAAAACACGTTCTGAATAAACTCAGCGATTCAGCCGTTTAAATATGCACTTGGCGTAACTTTAAATGTACATCCTGGTGAGAGAGTATGAGGGGAAGTTGAGAAGTTCTGATAAAGGTATCAACTTGAAATAAATTTATTATGCAAAATAAGAGAAACCTTAAACATGTTATTTTAATTTACATAATTTTAACTGACTTAATATTTTGGTGAGGCTGATGGTTGTGAAAATACTTACAGGAATTCGTCAGTAATTTAAAACAGACCGGCAACATTTTTAGCAACTTTCAGTTATATGCACAAGTAATTTAAATTGTTTTGTAAATTCTGAGTATAACCAGACAGCATAGTCGTTTCTATATAGACAACAAAAGCAAGCCCCTACTGTTTTAACAAGATTACAATAGGACATATAAATGGAAGACAAAAATAGGATTTGTTAACAGCCATTCAAAATTCGCTCCAATTCAAAGAGGATTAGAAATAACTACATAAATAAAAGTTTTTTAAATAACCATTCTTTAAGTAAATTACGAAGATCATGCACAAATCAATCTCTGTTGTTCTAGAAAATTGGGAGGTTTAAAAAGTGATCTCTGCTTCAAAAATTTGCAAATAGTTGTCAATTTCCTCCTGAACAAAACTGAATGAAATCAAATGCAGATCACTGAGTGTAAGAACATTTCTAAAACTCAAACAGTCTCCATATTTCCACTTCGCTTGTAACAGAGTCTTTTTATAGATTATTATGTGAGGGCATGGGCATGGAAAACTTCCATCATGAAACGAATTTATTCGTGCGTAGTGCAGCAAAAATTTTCTTAAAAAATAAAATTGTGGTTGCTACTGTCTCTCGCTATCATTCATTGTTCCGGAATACTCTAGACACGAGAGCGAGAGAGTTAAGTTGAGTTGTCTCTTTGCATCACGACATATTACTGGATGCATCTGCGTGACAAGATCGGAGTTGTTTACAGTGCTACCGTAGAATGAGTTTATTCTTTTCAAATTCCTTTGAGAAAGGAGTTTCGAGATTAAAGCAGCTTGTTTTTTATGCCAGAATTCTATTTACAATATTGTCGTAAGCGTGTACTTTCAGTTAAAAAGGAATCTCTATTATCCTTATGTATTATCAATAACTTAAAAACTAACTTTAAGTATGACATATAAATCAGACTTCTAAAATGTGTATTTGTATTCAGTGCGATACAAAGATGAAATTAAAAAAAAATAAGAATTAGATTCTAATCGTGTAGTTTAGAATTTAATTCTAAACTACACGATTGGAATCTAAACTTGTGATCTAAAGTTGTGCTTCGATTTCGAATTCAAATTCTTAATTTAGATGCATTCAATATATATTGAAATAAAAGACATTCATATTGTTTTTCAGGATGAATATCTTTTGAATGAATATGTTTGACATGTCTAAGAACCATTTAATTACACAGAAATGTCTCAATAATTAGTATCAGAAGTGTTTATTTTTGTAGCTGTTGTACTACTCTCTTATACAGCTTCCTATATTGATATTAAATGTCCTAAAATTTTATGGCATCAAATTAAAATAGACTTTGTTAGCCGAAAGGGCAATTGAAACTATATTTTGCATTGAATCATTTGTATCGCTTTTTTAATTGCAACCAAATATTATCGCTCTGCATGGATTTATGTAAGTTTCTCGCATTGTATAAAAACGACGCTATATAGATATCAATTGAATGACTAGTCTCCCTCAGGTCGCCTGGAAGCCCGAATTGAAGTTTGAATGGTTTTGTCCATTTCTTAAAAAATAAATTCGAATTTTGCTACGAATTTTCGAATTTTAAAAATCCGAGATAGCCAAAATGTTGCT